GTATAGTACAATTTTTTAATAAAGTTGAGATATCAATGCAATTTATTAATAAAATAATATTAATATCAATTAGGTTTTTCTTTTAATAAAATTATAGTAGTTTAACCCGACTACCAACTACGAGATATCTCGTAGTCTGTGCTGCAATTTTAGATTAATTACAAATAGTTATTTCCGTTAAGAATTATTAAAAAGGTTGAATAAAATATCTATATGGTGTAAAAAACATTAATTATCAATTATTGTAAATACCATTACAATATTATATCAGTAACTTAATATTATTATATTTTTAAAAATTTAAGGCAAGACGCTCTAAATATGTGTCGGTCAATGGGTTAATCAGTTAACTGTGGCACTCCGTTTTGAAAGTGCGTTTTGAACTGTGCGTCGCTTAAATCGACCGATGACGAGTATATTCGTCAAAGACATAGTAAGTGTCGCTGGGGTGTCCTATACAACATTTTTCACGATTTTTCAAGTATGTGCGATCACCGTACAAAAAAATACTTTCAACAAAAGTTGATCTGTTTTCGATTAGTTATACATTGCAATTTCAAAAATTTTAGAAAAATTTTCTTTTAGTGTTTTTTAAGGACTCCTTTATTTTTTTAAGCAGCACCCTATATTTTTGACTTTACAGTATTATAACACGTATTAATACGAATTCAACGAGCTAGTACTACTCCAAAACAAAAATTTAAATTGCTTACTTTATATTTATTATTCTTGCCCTTTTCGTTAATTATGTAATATATGTTACATAAATCAAGAAATATTAGTAATAAAATTGGCAATTTTATAAAACAAACCTATCTTTTGATGCAATATTTTTTCATGTGTTTTGACGAACTTAATTTAATAAATTTATCTATTTACGAATATAACGGCTTGTAAAAGGTTCTACCATGCGATACCTACCTACACTAATGCTTATTGATATCTATGAATTTTAGTAAGACCGTTGAAATTCCCGGATTCAAAGGTTTAAACAAATTCGTTAAGCGAACTAATACGCTTTATCAATCGGTACATGCGGGGACGCATGAGTTAATCTCAAATTTCTGATATTTTTTATTTGTTTTTTTTTTTTGTTATTCCGGCCTGGTCTCAAAATATTTAAAACATCTTGAAAATTAAGAATATGTTTTGTTCATTATCGTTCTCGCCATGATACAAAATCGTGCAACTTCTTCATGAAGAAAACGCTCATCAAAGATAATTAAATGGTTAACAATATCATATTAAATATAACTTATTTAGCAGACTTACTGTTACTCAAATCGCTTACATTTCTGATGTCAAATTTACGATAGAATCTCATCCACGTATCTTTGCAATTACATTAGATCGGTAACATGTGAAAATTCAATTATTATATCCTAAGTATTCTATAATCCAATTTYTTTTCTTTTTATAGAATTATTTGTACAATATAGTACAAATTGTTAATAATGTTATATCTATATCAGTAAAATTTATTAATAAAATAATAGTAAAATTAATTAGGTTTTTCTTTTAGTAAAATTGTAGTAGTTTAACAGTTCTATACTAAATATAACTTATTTAGCA